GCTCTGACCCCAAGCTTCTCTCCCTGTCTGTGTGTCTGTGTCTCCATGGAGAAAAAGCTGGGGTATGCGAAAAGACGAATTCCTAATGCAAGAAATTGTATAGGGCCAATAAAGAAACATTATTACATTATTATTATTAATGGAGGCTGTCATAAAAGCTCAGGGGGATGAGAACAACCAAGGTCACTCTCACCTCGGCTGCCTTCACTTGCTATCATTCACTTGCATCTTCAAAGCAACTAACTAACGTAGGTTAGTCTCTTTGTCTAACGTAGTTTAGTCTCTAACTAACGTAGGTTAGTCTCTTTGTCTAACGTAGGTTAGTCTCTAACTAACGTAGGTTAGTCTCTTTTTCTACTCCCCTCCTCCACCTTTGCAGCTGCCCCTTGGTTCTCTCACCAGTCGGCATGGGTCCTTTGGCCAGGGGCCTGGCACTTGGCCAAACAGGATAAGCCAAATTTTACCACAACTAGTCATTCAGTGAACATTCCCCAAATCATTTAATTCTCTTGCTCTCCTAGTGAGACATGACTGTGGCAATGCCGGCTGTTTCTCAGAGAAAAGCATTAAAAGCAAATCCCTGAGAAACTAGAGGCCATAGACAGCTTAGATTTAAAAAATAATCATTTCGATGTCATTTTTAAGGAATTTACCAGAGGTGATTCCATCTGCATCACACCGAATGCCTTTGAGAACAATGTCAGAGCTTCTATACTGTATACAACTTATGGTTTAATCAAGAACCATTAAAAGGGTGAACTGTAATCCCTTCTAAAGTCACAGTAGCTTTGATTTAACAAATTACTATGTCAGTGTCTGCAAAGTATGCTTGGTTTCTATTGCACACTTTTAAAATTGGGAAACCCCTTTGGAAATCTGAAGAACACCAGACCATAGCCTCAGAATAACATAGAAAATAACAGGAGCACAGAGGCCCAGTGTGCACCCTGAGGGAAGGAATTGACCCCAGATCCACAGATCAACAGTACTACAGTTAAAAGGAACATTGACCTTTAGTTCAACAAGAAACATTTTAAATAAGTTGACTTGAAACAGTGCTCCTGTCCTTCATCCATAATTTCTGTTAGTAGTAAAGAGCTGTAATAACACAAACCAGGTTCAAACGTAGGTGACGCACGAGGAGCCCGAAAGATGTGTGACTGAAGCAGCCCAGTGATGAATATCAAAGGGCAGATTCCAAGCGCAGCGTCCGGCTCCCGGCTCCAGTTAAAACATCCGTTTGTCACCTCCACGGACAACAGGAAAGCTTTGTTTAGCAAGGAGCATCCTGTGCTGGGGCTTTGAAGCGGAGCTCCCCCAGCAGGACGCTGGGAGAACTGTACAGCTGTGTAGAACAGCTCCTGAATCGGGAGCAGTGTGCAATCCAGGCATGCTCTCTCCAGACACACATCTAGAGTAGAAGCCACCAGGCACCAGTTCCGAGTGATCAGGGTTTCAAGTCAGGGGATGGGACACTGTTGCAGCAAAGAGGTGCTTCGCTTACAATGCCCAGCTCTTGGAGTCTGCATGAATACACTGTAGATTGCATTGTGTCAAAGCCTGGGCTACGTCAGGCCTAATAAGCTCAGTTGCTGGATGACTTTGGTATTTGCAGCCTGCTGCACCGTTTCCTCTTCCCTGTAACCATCTGGATTGTTGTGGAAGGTTTTTTGGTGTGTCACTTGAAATGCAGAATAATAAAAACATATATTGTAAAATAAGGGTATGTACTGTAGTTCAATGTAGATTAGGGACACTTAAGCTGGGATGAAAGGCTTTACGGTATGCACTGCTGTGGAGGCTCAGTTTGATATTTACCAGGACTTTTATTTATTCTAACTTCTTATATCTGATCCCTTTATCTAAAATAAGTTTTATTCAAAGCAACCAGTGAACTGGAAGTGGTGGAGCGCATGATGTTCGTGGAATAAACACTAATTCCACTGGGGCCCTTCTGTTTTTCCTTCAGGAATCCGAGGCCTCGTGGCTGGACAACGCCATCCCACTGCTCTCCGAGATCATTGTGCTGGAAGACACCCCCTCGATCCAGATGGAAGTGGGAGTCCTGGTCAGGGAGTACCCAGATATCCGGTAAGTGTCGCTCTTCCAGAACCACCCAGTCCTCTAGAAACTGGTCAGGTTCCCTTGCGCAAAGTGATGTCAAAGGCTTCTTCAGGAGCGCGAGTCACAGGACCCACAGCTGCCAGCCCTGGGGGTTGTATTCCCTGCTTTCAGCAGCAGCAGATCAGGTCCGTCAGATCAGGAGAGCGAACTGCAGAGTCACACAGGCTGCAGTCTGGCCCGTATTGCTAGGTGGAGCAGGGGGGAGTCCAGGGCTCATACTGCCCCTGGAATGTATCACCAGAAGGGATCTGAGCCTCTTTGTCCAGGGCTTTGGAATGGACCTTCCTTTCTGAATGCCTGCCGCTGCTACATCCTGGTGAGGTACGTTAGCCGGTGTAGGGGGTGGGGAGAGTTTCCCATGCCAGAAGCCAGTGCTCCCTTATCGTGGAAATCCTCTTTTTGTGGCCTGTCTGCAAGGCTTTATGAAAAGAGGTAAGGGTGCATGGAAGTTCTCACTGGGAGTGAGAGGTAGGGTAGTCAGGGATACTGAGGGCTGTCGGCCTCACTCCTCAGGCCTGTCCCGGTTAATGTGTTTACCTCTAGAGTGTGTCCAGCGAGCGAAATTAATCTTTCTGTTAAATCAGCTGGGTGCGTCAAGCCGACACGATGGGTAGCGTAGTTTCAGACCAGCGTGATGACCAGATGACGAAGAGAGTAAAACTGCGCGCCACACAGACCCCCCCGGACCCCCCCGGGACCGGGCGCTGAAGGGCACTCTGGGAGCAGCGGTGGGCTCGTAAACCCTGGCGAACCCCGCTGCCCTCCCTGCGTCTCCGGGTGGTCTTGTGATGAGGCCCCGTGCCGGCTGGCAGGCGGCCGCGTGGCGAAGCCGCGCCGCGGCCGAGAACAGGAAGCCGCACAGGAGCTGTTCCTGCCATCCCACAGGGGACAGCCTGGTGCCGAGCCCCAGAATCAAAGGCTGGCCCAGCCCGCGCGACGAGGACAGATGTTTTAGTCGTTCGGTTGTGGGGCTCCTTTTTCTTTTGTGTCTGATCGGGCCCCTCTGCCTGTTTGCTTTGGATCAAAGGGCGACCCTCCGGCAGGTTTACTCTCGGACACTGGAAGAGCTGCGGCTCAGCTTTCCCCTTTTTTTCCCATTGAGGCGGAGCGGCATAGATTTATTCTGATTGCCTCAACCTTTGCTTCAGATTGTGAAGCCTCATTTTTTTCACCACAAGCCTGGTCAGTGAGGCGATACCATTGAACACCCTCATCGGTTAAAAAATTAAAAATCACAGCATCCACTTCTTTCCATTCCAGAAAAATGCTGCCTTAATGCCAAAATGTTTCTCTCAGGTCCCCCATAGTGGCTACAGCTGCCCAAACCTTAGGGGCTTTTATAGAGCTTTTTGCAGTACTGTCACATTGCATATAGATGTACAGTATACAGTCTGAAACGTCAAAACTCCAAGTCTAGGATGTCATGCTAAACAGGATAACTGTCCAGTTAAAGATCATCCCTCGGCATGTGCGTCTGTGTCAGGCCCTGCACAGTTGGCAAGACCAAGCTGCCGAGACTGCGGCGTCTGCTCTGATTTTGTGCAGGAAGCTGTCCCCCGAACCCGGTCATCGGGAGCAACGTGACGAGGCTCCACGTGTGTAGAGACGTGCTGGGGAACACCGGCGATGCATAGTGATGTTCTTCTCTCCCTGCTTCAGGAAGAAGCACATTTCCGCCGTCTTGAACATCCGTGGAATGATGCGCCAGGTGGAGCGGCAGGAGATCCTGAACATCGCGAAGGACTTCGAGAACAGCGACAGCCTGACGCAGCTCTCCCGCGACCGGGCCCTGTTCTCCGAGGTACCCGTGACCTCGGAGGTCCACTGCCTCAACCTGGGCCTCAGCCGCCTCGCCCTCACCACCTCCTCCTGCCTCTCCCTCGTCCGGTCCAGCCGGAAGAGCTCACGGAGGCGGGAGGCTCCCGAGGACCAGCTCTAACTCCGGACAGCGCTGACTCGTGTGTGTGTGTGGGGGGGCGTTGTCTTTTTCGACGAGTCAGCCCCTCTTTGGAGTTGAATCATCAGATCCTGATCTTGCTAAAAAAGAATCTCAAGAAAATGAACTGAGGTTCGTCTGCTGGTACCTTTGATCCTAGGGCTTCTCGTTCATCTGAGACTCCTGGCAGCAGAGTGCGGGCTGATTTGTGCTGTGTCAACGTCAGAAACAGCGCTTATTTGTTCTCTGCTGCCCTGGGTGCAGGGTGCCTTTCTGTGATATGACGCTCTGAATGGACTCACCTTGTGGTATAAAGCTGGTGTGAACGTCTACATCAGGATAATACAAGGTAGTGCGATTTTTCTCTTCTTTGTCATGCGGACCGAGTCGTCTGTGTGCGGAATGTGGAGTTTCTGGGACACTGGCTGCACGTCTGAGCAGAAATCGCAGCTTCATTCGTGCCAAAAAAAAAGTCGATGAAAGTCAGTAGACTGCATGAGTGCTCAGGTCACAGTTGGCGATTCATAAGGACAACAGCATTTGTCTCCTTTTACGAGACACAGTAATCCTAAAGGCACATTTCTTTTCTTATTTGCTTTAACATAACCGCATGTCCCTTAACCAGTGCTTGCTGCATTCAATCCAATCACAGACAGAAAACACCAGACAAACAGACAGGACAAACAGACAAAGACCAACTGGAAATAAGGCTGACAGATCTACATTGGAAATCGCTATAACTGCTGTATGTACTGTATCTCTGATACAATGCACTCCAGAATTTGGGGACATTTTTTTGTTTAAAAACATCTCATTCCTGTAAGATTTAGTGTCTGTTTCTAAGAAAGCAGCTGTCAATTTCATTATGGCATGATTTAAGGTACTATATTGCATTATAATTGTGCACACATCTCCCTTTTTACTTCTACTTTAGAGAATTTAAGAAAACTCTTTTTCTATGGGAGTAAATGTGAATGGAACAAGTCATACTTGAAGATAAAATTCAGCTGCAAACATCTCATCTCACCAGGAGAACATTTTCAAATTTCAAGAAAAAATCTATTTGCAGACAGTAAATCTTATTTATTGCAGATGTGTTTCTGTAGGAGTTGTGCTCTAAAGCAAAATCTCAGTCCCACATGCAGTTTTAAGAAACTATTGATTTAAACAAATAATGCCAGATGACTGTAAGAGAAACCATGTGATTTGAAAAGCAGTTTTAGAATAAATTGTAATAACCACATTTTTAAAAGGTTTCCCTTAGTTTTTCACTGAGTGGCAGTAACAACTCTGTTTTTTAGAAGCTGTGTAGAAATTCGTCTGCACAATATGACGTTCTCAGCTGTGGGTCTTGAGGTAGGACACAGGCAAGTGCAATAACTCATGTCTTGATCCAGGGGTCGCATTCAGGGTCTGTAACGAGGGTCAGATTCGGAGTGCTTAATTATGGCCTTTTATAAAGACGCCTTTTCCCACAAGTAATAATTCATGGCTTGCCTGGCTGCAGGAGAGAGTGCTCCAGGAAATCCTTTGTTTCACACAGCCGTGTGAGGAAACAGAGCAGGAGGGGATGGTATTAGGAGAGGGAATGAGACATGGATGCACATGCGATTCACTGGAGTGACTTTCAGGTTTTCACCTCTGTGGATCAGTTCAGATCCCAGCAATCTCTCACTGTGGACATGTTGTCAATATTAGAGGCACACTAAACCTCAACAGTCTTTGCAGTCTCTGGTGATTTGTTTGTGGACCAGGAAGAGAGGGGTATTAAGATCTGAAACCCCACTTTCTAAACCATAATATGGATTTATATGCCAAACTGCAAGTTAGTTGGCAAACCATAAGTAAATAAGAAGGCAATACTCTCATGCCTTTAAATAAGACGTAGATAAAAGAAATGACCAAACAAAGGATTTGACAGAAAAAACACTATTTAAAATAAAATTAAATAGCTTTCATTTTTTTTATTAGCATTGGGAGATTTCACAGGTAGAAACTACAGGAAAAGTTAATTTAGAACCAAGAACAAGTGGCAGCGCTTCTGCAAAGGTTTGTGGAACTGCCCAACGGTGCTGGTGAAGCTGAAAGTCCGGCTTCTTTCAAGAAATGTTGTCATTTTCATATCCCACAGCTGATCCCATCATTCAAGGGGGCTTGGTGGATTAAAGGTCCTCCGACATCAGAGAGAAATCACTAAGAAAAGCTTTAGTTGTTTAAACCAGCCCTTACAGAAACATGCAGATGACATTCATTCTGCAGCACAACGTCCTGGCAGCTCATCTACAGGGATTAAACAAAACAATTTCCCACATGTGTTCTGTTCATTTTTGGACTATGTCCCTTGTGTTAGAAAACAAATTATGCAAGTTATGGATTTGGAAAGGCTAAAAAGGATGTCTTGATCACATTGGTGCAGAAATGAATGGTTGTAAATCATTTATTGAACAGTAACACGATATGTAGTTTCGTTTCAGGGCAGTTCAGTCTCAAAGACACAGGAGAGGAGAAAGGGGGAAGATTATGTTTTATTTTTGCTCTTCTGTCCTCTTGGTCACAGGGATATCTGGTCATTCCAATCACAGTTTCTCCTGCCCTCCTCTTTAATACCTTAACACAGCACACATCTGACTCCATGCCTTTCTTTAAACCTTTCTCCTGTCCTTGTCTGTGGTCATTGCCCGTCAGCAGGTGTGCAATCACGTAGGAAAGAATGTCTTCTACCGTGGAGTGTAAGTTATGTAATAATCTAATGTAAATAAACCAATCCTGAAAACGATACTCTTAACAGTGTGCTTTTTGGAGCGGGTGCGCACGGTGGTTAAGTCACGAGGTGTCGGCCCTCAATGTGACCTGCAGAGAGCGAGTGGATGTGCGGGGGGGGCAACGGCGAACTCGTGCGCTTACCGGTGACGCGCGCGTGACGGTTCACGTCACGGTGACGTGCTTTCAAGCCGCCGCTGTCGATATCGTCTTACGAGGTAACGTCAGAAACATTTATGAATAATGAATCACAAGTGCTCAGGTGGAGAGCTGCAAACGAGCGGGTAGCTGGTTTATTCCTGCTGAAGAGAAAAGAAACACTTACGTTTCGGCTGTGGAGCCTTCTTCAGGTGCGAGTGAATTAGAAATACAAATGAATTACAAATATCATAGTCATGTTATTAGTCCCACTTTATTTCAGACAAAAAACTCCAGTGGACCTGTCGTTGGTTCTGTACAATTTTCCTACTTACATCTTTATAGCCCAATGATAACTAAACTTTATCATTTTAAGGATAAAATTACCATTCCTTTAATTTAACAGGACTATGATTTAAACATATTTTGTTTTTTAAAAAAGGACTGTAACAGGATCTGTGTGCTCCCCGGAGGATGCTGTTTGGCCAATGTATTCCTTTTGGGTAGTTTGTGGGTAATTCATCCGATGAGCTCGTCGTTTCTTGTGACGTGCTCCGACAGCATGACTGGGCAGTCTGTTCTGCACTCCCTCAACCCACAACCAGGAGCTGCTGGAGAGCAGAGTGTGTCGGACTGAGAGCTACCAGACCCCCATGACCAATCACACACAAGCTTTCAGGACTATGTAACATAGTACATCTTTTTGTTGTTGTTGTTGTTGTTGTTGTTGTTGCTGTTGCTGAAGATAGCAACAGACAAAGAAAGCTGACTGAAATTCATGGCGATTGACATTTAAATTAGAACGATCTGGCCAGGAAACTTGCTTTATTTTTCCAAACCAGTCCAGCACTGTCTGTACCACAGTGTAAAACGAGGTTTTTAAAAACCCCAGAGCAACAGAATCTAAGGCGGAAAGGTTACCTCAAGACATGTACCGTTTTAGAACTGTGTGTGTGTATGTGTTATCTTTCCCTGGCCGGAGAGGAAAAGTAAATTTGTCAGTTCCTGGAGACCACAGTCCACCCCTGCAGGACTGGCAGTCCTATCAACATCCCAAAACAACTTCAGATTCCCCAGGGAACAGGATCTGCTCCTTGTTACGGTGTCAGATGTACTGTAGGACTGTTTGCGCATCTTTGTGTTTCGCTGGCCGCTCGCAGAAAGGAAAAGGCTGTGTGCGTTTTCCGTGACGCGGTGTCCTGACAGCAGCGCCGGCGTCCCCGCCGCCGGGACGGGCCCGCGGGAGGAGAGGAGCGCGGCACGATGCAGAGGCGCTGGAGGAGACGTCCGCGGCTCTTCGCCGGCTCTCCTACGGGATGTTTTCCAGTAAACAAAGGCTTCCTGTTGTCCGCCGAGGTGGCAAGCGGATGCTTTTATTGGAGCCAAGTTTACACGGCCTGCTGGGAGGGGACTTCCCTTCGGCATGCCACAGCCCGGGGGCTGGGCAGGGCTGTGCTGTCACTCTCACCCTGCGCCACGGGCTCCAGCGGGGCAGCCAGGGAAGGCGAGAGACCCGAGCCCGATAGCGCTGCCGACGAGAGCGCTTGAAATGCTGTGTCTCGGGCTCACCAGGAAGCTGTAACGAGCCGTATCGGGCACCACGCACCATCATGTGGGAGGAATCCCACTCCATCTGATGGCTGAAGCTTGCAAACCAGTGGGCAAACATGTCAAAACGTCCTAAGGCCTGTTGTAATGGGAGTGTTTTTGCTTCGCTTAAACTGCTTGTGATCTGATAGCTGTTAGTTGGATGAAAACATGCAACAATCAAGTTTGAAAATCAAAGCTTGGTTGCATTAGGGTCTGCATTTTCTCTCAGACCCTCGCCACTTGGCTTTTTCTAGACCGCATAACCATGATGGACCTAAGCATGTACCCCTGATCGTGTAATGCCCCATTCATTTAGCCATGTCAGGCTCTATTTTAAAATAACCATATTTATATTAAGCATATTAGAACTTGGGTTGAAATGAGATGATTAGAAATTCAGTTAGCTGGGTATTTTTCCAAGGTTTTCCTTTACAATAGTATGATTTTATACATGTAACTATTGCAAAAGCAATGGAGGGTTTCTTGCATCACCCTGTGCTGCAGCAATACTTACAGACTAGTTTTATGGTGAACATCGTCTCGGAGCCATACAGCCAGGGCACAGCAGTGTAGTGAAACTATACAACTGCACACACGCCTTCATCAGGCCAACACGGCTCAGGGACAGTTTCCCAGACCCCACTGTGATTCAGTGGCTCAAACAAATCAACAGGTCAAGAGTGATGTCATGATGCTTGCAGAAGATTATTGCGGTGAATGTGCACGGTGTTCCTGCAGTTGTCTCTTAGCTTTGTCATGCTGCTCTGTATGTATTTGCTCTGCTGTCGTCCGCGTGTGCCTGCTGTAGGCGCCTCACAGTGCTTCTGCGCCGCTTGCCCTCCCCGAAGCGGCACTGGCATTGCCCTGGTGCTCGAAGAAGAGGTTTGTCAGTGGAGTGCTGAGCAGCAGGGCGAGAGCTGGAAGCATGCGGCCAGCAGCCGCCGCGCTCTTCCCAGGAGAGACAGGAGCCTCCCTGCCGGGCCCGGCAGCTCGTGGGCACTGAGTCACACCGGGCAGCGCCAGCATCCGAGAGCCTTTTTCCACCCCTCCTGATTAATCCCCGGGCTCCCAACGCCTTTGTGTTCACGGTTTCTTCTGTCTGTTTCCTGTTATTTTACACTGGGCTTCGTTCGCGCTGAACAATATCCTGACGGGCTCTTATTACGACAGAGGCTGCTGGCGGCCGAGTCCAGGCCAGTTTCGGAGCCAGGGACGGACTGGCTGCTGCTCTCCCAGGCGCTCCTCCAGCCTGCCGCTCGCCAGACTCCCCTCGGACAAGAGTGGACGCAGGGATCGGGCGAGGGCACCGCGGCACAATCCCGTTACACTTTCCCTCTCTCAAGTTCTCTCCAGTCCCGACTGGCTGACCAGCGTGCTGCACGTCCACAGGATCGTAAGAACATGAGAGAGAGGGCAAACGAGGGGCAGCTTCTCGGCTTATCTATCTCCCCCTTTGGATGTTTTTAGTTAATTGATCCCAGGATCTCATCCCACTGTTTTGAGAAGCTACTTTTAGAGGCGCTGTATAAAAGATTTTTAAAATTTTATTATTATTATGTTATTATACTTTTTAGGATTTTAAATAATAGAATCAGGTTCCCTTGTAGTACTCTTGGTCCCAGACTACAAAGATCGTTTCTTTTATCCTCTCCAGTTGATTCCTTTCAGCTCAGGGACGTAGCTGGGTGGTCTCTGAACTGATTCCCAAGCAGCCCCAAGGATCAAAGCTGTGGCAGCACTGCAGTGTCCCTTGTGTAAGTGTAAGAGCCTAGGAGGTGCAAGGGAGGGGAGGGAGGGATGCCAAGTGCTGAATGCTGGGAAAGGTGAGCTAGCTTCCTGTATTTTAGTCTCAGACCTTCGCCTGTTGAGATCTATTTTACTTTCAAAGTAAGTTACTTTCCACACCTACACAGCCATGCAGCTCTCCCTAGAGGAACAGAAGGGTAGCACAAAAACTGCGATAAGATCCACATTTCTGCAGAGCAGCGCCGTTTACTGCATGGGTTGCAAGTGACTTGTAGTATTACTCTTTCAGGGACTGTCACTGCAGTTGCACCTGTAGATGATACAGGAAATGAAATACCAGCAGGTCAGGCCTATCGGACATTGTTGTCAGAGGGGCTTCACTGTGTGCTGGCCCTCGCTCCACAGGATTTGAGTTTAATAAGCCCGTTCGTTTGCAGTGTCTGGGCTCTTCCTTGTTATCAACACAGGCATGTATTTTGCTGCACACATTTGCATTCAAGCAGTAGCCATCAGGGTGGGGGGGCTCTCTAGATCAAGAGTCTCCCCCCCCCCAGTCTTAAGGAGTTTTAAAGAACTGCAGCACAATGAACTCCCTGGGAAACGCAAAGCATGCTTCCTCTAATTAATGTTCCCTGGGGCTGGAAAACAAATTGACACGAATTAGCTTCTGTTTGTTTTAGGAAGACGGGCTGGGATTTCTTTGTTCTGCAAATAAATTCCTTTGCTCCCCCCCACAGAAGGGTTTCCCAAATTGAGCCCCCAGTGCCAGACTCATCAGCGCGAAGCTCCTGCATCTCTTTGTTCTGTCCCAGCTCTGTGTAGACCTCCGGGACATGTGGGGAGGCTGCAGAGCACAGACAGGCCAGGTCAAGAGCGATCACAGGCTGTGGGTACCCCTGAGGGGCAGACCTTGGGTCCCCCTTGTTCTTCTGTTTCCAGAGATGCACTTTAGGGGGTCTGAATGGACTTCGTATGTGTTCAATAAGGTTCTCCGTCTTGCATCACATATGAGCCCTTTCCAGAAAGTCATGTTTAGCAAACCATGGACATGATTGACTTAAAAAAAAAAAGAAAATGCCTATTATTTTCTCAGTCATCCATTTCGCTACATTCCTGGACAGCCCGATCCTGGCTCTGGTTTCATATCAGCAGGCTGTACTGATAAGCACTCCAGTGGGCTGTGCAGAGCTTGTAGTCAGATAAGATCTGCAGGTAATGCTGACCCAGACAGGGAACAAACAACCTCCTCAGTCTGTTAGCTCCTCCCAGATGTGAACACACAGTGATAACAACTGCAGCGCTTATTTTAGGTAAGGAGATTCAAACATCCCTGGATGGAAACAATGTCAAAGTTTATTGAATGCATAATGAAGGGAAATTGCTTCTTGTGAATATAATACCTGCTCCACTTCAAACTTTGGTGGAAAACAGACATTTTCTAAATACTCAAAAATCTGTACAAAAATGTTCAAACAGTGTGAGATTTATTATACACTAGTGACTTTATTTCATTGTGAAAGTGGAGGGTGTTTAGACTATTAGATGAGTCATGCTGGAAACACAGTCCCGCTGGGCAGCAGTGTGGACTGGTGGCCTAGGACTCTTCACTCCCTGGAAGGTTATGGGTTCAGATCCTGGGTAGAGACCTGCTATTGTTCCTCCTGACCAGGGAGGCTCGCTCAGATTGCTCCAGTAACACTTCTGACTGTACAAAATAACAGAAAGTGATGTTGGATAAAGATATTTATGAATTTGCTAACCTTGGGAACTAATAACATCTGGCAGATATACTGTAGTTATATAAAGATATTTATATGGTCTAAACATCTAAATTGCAACAAGAAATATTAAATCTGATTATTGCGGTCCTGTCCAGTAGCCAGGATGCTGTTTTGGGGGCTGTATGCTGGTGTTAAGGAATGAGGATAGAAACCACCTCAGATGAGAGAGACTGTTTATTCTTTCAGGCTTCAGTCAGCAAAACACAGTACTATCAGCCCTGTGATAATGGGAGAGGTTTCAGATTGAAGCCGTTGTTACTTTAACAGAGGTTTAGAACTGTCTATTTAAGAACACACTTTAGCCTATAATTTTTAAAAAACAAAAATTCTCAACATTAGATGTGCATATGTTGTGCATACGTGAATATTGTGCATACAGTATGTTGTATATTTATTTATTGTTGTCATTCTGTAAAGCACTTTGAGAAGGTTAGTGCTGTTTTCTCACAGGTCCTAAGTTCAATACTGAGAATACTCTGTGTGGAATCTGCATGTTCCTGTCTTGCAAACTGCAGTTTCAGGTTGGGCTCTCGGTTGCTCTTACCGCTTGCCAGGAATAAGTGACTTTCTTCAGATACACCATTTAAACTGGACAGTATGCCTGTGGAAAGCAGGAGGATACTGGGCACCTGAAGAACATTCATGCAGCCACATGGAGAGCATGCAAACTCCATACAGACAGAAATTCCAGGCTGGAATCTAACACAAGGCTGCACTAGAGAGGAACATCTTCGGGGCTGGAGGAGAGTACCACTTGTATTGGGGATCTGTTTTCTGCATAAAAACAGCACAAAAAGTGTTTTGTCGTGTTTTGTCACGTGCTGCTCCTTCCAGGTGCCAGATCTATACCTGAGAGAAACCCGCTCTCATGAAACAGTAAGTTCCCAAAATAAATAACAAAATGTGTTGGATCAGTACTTGGGTGTTGAAAACCAGAGCAGCCTCACATGATGTCAGTGACACTGTAAACATCCATTAAATGAGTGGATATTTGTTTTCTTTTGTGTAAATTGTTTTGACATTCAAATAATAGTGAGAAAAAATACACTGGGCTTTTTTTTCCCTCAGATTGCCGTGTGCACACAGGGGCTTTTATTCCTGTGAACGTCTCCACAGGAAGGGGAGATTGACTGGCACAGAGCATTCTGTGTGCAGAGAGCCAAGTTATCAGGCTGGACATCTCTCTTCTCCCCTTCCTATTGGATAGCAGAGCCCATTTGTCTTAAGGGAAGTAAGTACCTCCCTGTTATGTCTGAGGCTCCACTAAGCATTCCAAAAGCAGCTAATCACATCTTTTGCGTAACACCTTTACAAAAACAGCTTATCTACGTACAGACAATGCTATATATAAGTGCCATTTAGACTAGTTGTTATTCATAGGAGTAGCATATGTAACTCATATACTAGACTCATTTCCACAGCTTATGCAATAAGCAAAAGTGTCTCACTTTTGAAGTTGTTATTTTTCCCTTTGCAGCAGGGGTTCTTATCATGTTGAAAGCAGTGCCCAGGCATGAGTGTGAAATGGATTATTGAGCGTTTGTGCAACATGTTACTGGTTCTCCCTGATCCCTGATCCCCAGTTTGAGGTACTGCCTTAGCCTGGAATTGGCCAAGTCCTCACCCAGTCCAGGAAGATACATTCCCAAAATAAGACCTTTTTTAAACCTTTGACAGGAAATTGATAGTGTTAGGTCTGTGTTAACACACACTCATCCTTTTGCCACTTCCTATAATTAAAAAAAATATTTGAACTCTTTACTTGCATCTTGGTTTCATATCCCATGTTGCCCTTGCACAATAAAGTCTCTCACTTTACTGTAAATGTGTTGGAAATACATAGAAGTGTCTCCAGAGCTACATATCAAGCATTGTGCACTTTTGCTGTGGCCTGTGTAAAAAAATTGTACAGTTTTGTGTTGGTTCTCTGAAAAGTCCCACATGAGACAGGTATATGCACATCTAGAAATTAAGAAATGCACATTTGAAGGCGTAACAGTTGTAGAAGACCGAGTGAGGGTCAAGACAGTGACTATGCGAGGGAAGGTTTTCTGTTTGCACCTAAGACAGCTGTCTTTCTGCACCTGAAGCCTGCGATTTTTCACACCTGTGTGTTAGCAGGGTGATATGGCCAGCAGCCATATCACCCTGCAACTCACAACTGGCAACCCACTGAAGCTACGCAGGTGTGAGCCTGGTCAGTACCTGGATGGGAGACCTCCTGGGAAAAACTAAGGTTGCTGCTGGAAGAGGTGTTAGTGGGGCCAGTGGGGGGCGCTCACCCTGCGGTCCATGTGGGTCCTAATGCCCCAGTATAGTGACGGGGACACTATACTGTAAAACAGGCGCCGTCCTTCGGATGAGACGTAAAACCGAGGTCCTGACTCTCTGTGGTCATTAAAAATCCCAGGGTGTTTCTCGAAAAGAGTAGGGGTGTAACCCCGGTGTCCTGGCCAAATTTCCCATTGGCCCTTACCAATCATGGCCTCCTAATAATCCCCCTCTATGAATTGGCTACATTACTCTGCTCTCCTCCCCACTGATAGCTGATGTGTGGTGAGCGTTCTGGCGCACTATGGCTGCCGTCGCATCATCCAGGTGGATGCTGCACATTGGTGGTGGTGGAGGGGAGTCCCCATTACCTGTAAAGCGCTTTGAGTGGAGTGTCCAGAAAAGCGCTATATAAGTGTAAGCAATTATTATTATTATTATTAAACCAGAGAGAAATCAAACAGATTGCGGTATGCCAAATGGCATGTTCCTGTCCTGTTTTATTTGTGTTTGAAAGACTTCTGACAGTGTCCTGTGCCCTTTGTGTTCCTTTGATATGTTAAAGTCTTGCCTACATTTAATGTATAAAAGGGAAAGTGTAACTTCAGTCAAGCGAATATATTTACTGAGTGCTAGAGGAAACCCTTTCTCTGTGATATGCTCCCCTTCAGCTGATTGAATAAAAGATCTGTTTGACAATCTCCTAACCCGAGTGAAGACTGAGTTTTCTTCGACACACTGTTTTGCAACAGTGACAGCAAATATAGACCTACAGCAAAAGTGAGACAGAAAAAATGACTGGTGTGGCTTTCCAGCTTGGTGTGGCGTTAATTTACTCTGTACACCTCTTGGCTGCGAGAGTCCTTTCTGAAGCATTTCTATGGGAATAGTCAGATATGATGACAAATGACACTCGGACAGGAAAACAACAACTGAGAGTCACACGTAGCTTCCGAAACAGGTTATGCAGTGAGCAGTGAAATAACAGGAAAGTGCAATGTGCTGTACCCCTTCCAGACACTGACAGATAGAGTTGTTTCTGTACTGTTGAAGAGCGCGAGATTAAAAAGCAAACCTTTGCATTCTCCATAGAAAGAATGTCCAGTCTGCTGCCTTCACACTTCATTTTGACTGTACAAAGAGTTTTGCTTGAGGTTTGAGAAGGACCTTTCTGAATCTTCTTGGGAGAAATTTGCATAAGCGCTCTACAGTTTCTCCATAATTACACTGCTTCATACTTTCTGATTTCCCTTGCTTTCCTATGGTGTAATCATTTATTGCACTTCTCTATGATTTGCAATGCTTACAGACTGGTTTCACTGTGGTATACTTGAAACCGAGTTGGTGAAAGTTCGTTTTGAAAGGTAAACCATTGCAGTTACAAATTCCTTGCGAGAGGGATTACCTTTAAATAGAGAAGCTGGGAGGAAATTGTTTTATTGTGGTAACGTATCACTTTGCATCATGGGTGTCCAGTCCTGGTCCTTGAGGTTCTCTAGGTCTCTTGAAAGCAGCAGCACCTGAATATCTTGGAGCAGCTGATGAAACTGCTCCAGGTAAACCAGTAACCAAGTGGTTTGGCTTGTTAGGAGGTGTGTTGGAATGAAAACTGACAGTCGCTCTGGCTCTCCAGGACTAGGACTGGACACTCCTGCTTTACATAGGAACCGTAATGTAGTTTTAAACACAAACACACCTTGTTCTCTGAGGGGAATAGGAAATAATGAATGACTCGGATGTGCCTGTTAAAACCTGGAGACAGGAGGTCTAGTTTAATGAAAAGCTACTGTTTTGGCGGAAGGCAACTATTGGGTAAAAAGCAGGACGTTTCTAGTGAAGAAAACAGAAGGTTAAAGTTCATTTTTGACTAGCGCCACAGTGGGCCAGAGGTTATCCTGGTGTCTGGAGAACTAGACAGTCAGAAAGTACATGATGTCTGTATCTTGGGTGAGACTCTAGTCGAGCACAAGGTGTTCCTTGATGCTGGTTCACATTATACAACTGGGTGCATTGGAGCTGCTGGGGTTAAAGTATATTGCCTATAGCTACAACCGCAGGGCGCTTTTGGTAGGAATTCTAGAGCCGTACTCAGCACTCTGCTGCCTAACTGGGCCAGCTGGCACTTCCATGTTTATCATTTGTGATTGGCAAGTGGGAAGAAGTCTTCAATTAATCCGGACCTTCGAGATGGATCAGCCATGAAACCTATTCTCCTGACAGCCCTTCTGCTCCCAGTACAGGCTTGACATCGGAGCTAAGAACAATGAGGGTTCTTAAGGTGAGGTGTCATCTGTTACATCAGTTAAGAGCCCGGAGCAGGGAAGATGCAGGCTGTTCCCTGTGCACCATGAGGCCCTATGCCTAGTGCTTTAGAGCTGACTGCACAGCAGCTCATGCCCGTTCCGATAGGCCGTGCCAGCAAGAAGGCTTATATAAACACAGTCAGCAATAACACCAGGAGGTGGGAAAAGGGGCCATTTCCTGGATTGGCCAAAACAACTCCAGAAGAGACACTATAAATAGGGGAGGGGAAGAGAGCAACGATAGCGCTATCACAAGAACATTAAAATGCCGCAGCTTGGCTTCAAAACAGGGTGGACAAACGGACATCCTCACTCGCTGCTTATTTCTTGTGTACTTCAGGGGAACTCTCGCTGGATGGTGCCAAGATTTCTAATTACAATTTAACTTCTTTTTTAAACTGTTTTTTAACACCCCTATCAACCGTTTCCCCCTCCCCTACTCCTCATGAAATATCCACTGCCATGTCTCAGAGGTAGAACGATGCTTTCCTGGTCGTTGCGATTTCTACTGTGCTGTGTCCAGCAGTGGACGTGTGGACTGGGCAGGACTGCCGGAGGTTAAGACTCGCATCCCAAGGATCAGGGAACCTTCTAGGATAGGATCTAGGATTTCCCTCTTGGTTTCAGTCATTTTCCAGCAACAAGAGACACCAGGAACAGAGATGAACTATCCCAGTGATGCTGCCATAGTTAGGAATGGAAAGTCACACTCGGTTCCCTTTTTTCCTTTCACTGCCTCCGAGAGAGCTGTGCAGCGCTGCCTGGGCTCAGTCTACACAGCACAGAACCTGCCTGTCTGGGAGGAAGTGTCATTAACCAGATTCAGCCAGACACCCCATGTTCACGTTTTGAAAGATTCTGAGTTTTTTTAATTCGAAATGTCAACATTTTTGAATGGCTGGGCAAAATCTGCAAGTGGCTCATTTTTACGTGCCACTAAGAGCAACTCACTTCACCCCATCCCTACTCCTGTTGCTCCGACAGCGCCTCAGGGAGACGGACAACAAGCACGCAAGCAGAGCATGACAGAGGCAACGTGGCTGTTCCCAAATTGAACAAACAGAAATGAACTTCAAGGTGTTTCTGGTTATTTCAATGTTAAATCACTTTTGCAAAGAACAATAACTTGGCAGTTGCACAACACCAGAGTGACTGCTTCACCGCTATCAAGGCTGATAACCTCAACCCACCTGGTTTTAAATAAACCACCAATTTACAAAGGGTATAATTTCACTTTGGATCAGTAAGCAGTGATTTTGTCCAGGAAAGTGAAATGGAGATTGTGTCAAAGAGACGTTTTTAGCCTTTTATGGGCAGAGGAGCTGCATGTCAAGAAATCCAAATAAGATTAAACATAAAACAGCTACAGTCCATGTTTGCAATAAAGAACAATATTGTTTTAATCATTCAATGTTAATGTCGTATCTTCACATGAAGCAAAGAATGACATGGAGGCGGGTGTGGAACAATGGACTATATATTAAAGTAAGGCTGGGTTGTACAGAACATGACCCTACCGATCCGACATCTCACTGTCACGCCAGCTCTCCTCAACTGACCTCCAGCTCCCCAGTTCTTCCCAGTTTTCTCCCTCGCCTTCTGGCGCCAAAACTATAACAGCCGGGTGACTCCTACAACTTAGGAAAATGGGGTAGAGCCATCTGATGGACTATTACTTGTAATTTCAAATAATACGTATGTGTTTATTTATGTATATATCAATTTACTACAGTTAAAAGCAGAAAAACCGGGTCCACTGATCTGATTCGTGCTCTCTGAGCAAATCCATCGATGCAAGTGTGGATTTTATACACAATTCGATGGGGGTTTTCCTAGAGGCTTCTGGGAAGCCTCTCAATTACAGGCGCAAGTTGTTCTGTTGAATGTTGTTTGTTTTGATTCACTGTTAATTCAGGGGTGCACAATTCCAGTTCTGGATTGTATTGGTAGCCAGTGTTAGATAAGATAAGATCACTTTATTGGTCTTATACAATTTCTTGTATTAGGAATCTGTCTTTTCGCATACCCCAGCTTGCTCTCCATGAGACACACACAGACAGGGAGAGAAGCTGGGGGTCAGAGCGCAGGGTCTGCCATTGTACAGCACCCCTGGAGCAGCTGGGGTGAAGGGCCTTGCTCAGGAGCCCAGCAGAGATTCCTCTGCCAGCCACAGGATACGAACCAGCAACCTTTCAGCCACAGGCGGAGATCCTGAGCCACAGAGCCACCGCACTGCCCTAAGATGTAGGAGGGTAATGTACTGTAATCCTGGTCAGGAACACAGCACTTAGTGGTGAACAACCAGCCCTGGAGGAAGTGGCAACTGGCAGGCTGTCTGTGTCGGAAACATGGCCACAGGGCCTCACCTTCTGCCACTTTGTGCACTTGAGCTGCTTTGGCTACTGTTGCCACGCAGCCAGGAAGATGTGTTGCAGGAGGCTGACATGAAGTGAAAACCAGGGTTAGGGAGGCGAGATCAGATCTCTCTTATCTAAAGGTACAGCGGACCCCACCTCCCTCTCCTCTCTCCTTATTCAGGAAACGTTTGTTGCTGTTCTCCGGTAGTGTTTGCTCAGCCACTTTCTGGGATTTTTATAAAGGGGAAAAAAATTGTTTGGCTTTTCCAAATACTTGCCATCGGGGTACTGTTCTTCTTCCTGTAAATTAACTAGGGGGAGCCAAGAATATTTAAATCCCCCCCCCAAAAAAGTCTTCTAGAAACATTTCCAAAAAAACATACCAGCCAACTCCCAGGGTGTTTCTTGAAAAGAGTAAGAGTTTCACCCATGTGTCCTGGCCAAATTTCCCATTGGCCCTCACCAAGCATGGCCTCCTAATAATCCCCATGTCTGAACTGGCTTCATCACTCTGCTCTCCTCCCCACTGTGACCTGGTGTGTGGGGAGTGTACTGGTGCATCATCCAGGTGGGGCTGCACACTGGGGGTGGTGGAGGGGATCCCCATTACCTGTAAAGCATGAGTGGAGTGTCCAGAAAAGTGCTATATAAGTGTAAGCAATTATTATTATTATTATTATTATTATTATTATTATTATTATTATTATTATTAACTCAGTGGATTCAAGAACCATGTACTTTTTCTACTCACCTTGGGAAGAGTAATACATGTATGCATGTGAGTATGTGACAGACACACACACCCACACTGTACCCACTGCTGCTATGCCTTTATCAGGCTTGAAGGCGGTCATGGACTACAGACCCAGTGTGGTGGTCATTGTCTGCACAGTCAGTGGAGGATCCTGATATCAAGAATATACTCTCTTCCCTGTTTTTTTCTGTCACAGAAGGGCGATCCCACTGCATGCGACTATCCGATCAGGATGCGATTTCTGTAAATATACCACATTTAGACGAGGATGTGATGCCCACCCCCTGTATATTCACTTTTCACGTGTGAGCGTGAGGGTTGTGCTGGTGGCGGGTCAAATGTAGAGAACGTGCTTGCAACAGTCACAATCACATTTCACTGCTCGTCTCTTTCGGGCTGCAGCAGTCAGGCACATCTTCCAGCCCCCTGCCCAAAAGGGTCTTTAAATAGGGCAGATCCTTTGTCCCCTCTAGTGCGTGTGGTTACAGGGAGATAAGAGGCCCAAGGATCTCATCCTCTCAGCCTCTTCCTGAAGGAAGCCAGCAATAAACCTTTCTCATCTTTGGCGAAGGCATGTTACCCAAATAACAAAATCATGTTGAAATTGTCCCCTGCAGTGTTGTCTGCTCACAAGAGGTGGTGGTGCCTGTAAGTATGCAGACTCCCGACAAGCTGGATAGGAATTCCCAGTGGTCTCCCAAGGAAGCCACCAGACAGATTGAACTAGTTTTTCCACCACAAAAGTGATTTAGAAAACCACCTGAGCGAGATGTGACTCATCTGCTCACCTGATCTGACCTAGAACTTTTTCAGAAAGACACATGATCAGCTCACACAGGACAAGTGAAAATATTTTTTTTTTTCAACGGCAGGGAAAAACTGGAAATTTGGGCTGTTCCAAAGGTAGATGAATTTTAATGTGAAAAGGGTCAAATAGAAAAAGTCTCATTAAACATCGTCGAAACAAAAAAAAAATCTGTTAGGTCTTATTTTAACTCCCATTTATTAACTAAATAACAATCAAAATCAAAGATTAATTTCAATCTGCCTTCTTAAAATGTAGTCTCAGGTGGGGCTGCACAAACAGTTAAGGCAAAGGAACAAATAAAATGTGTGGGAGAATCAGTATGGGACATGTACATTTCGTTTCTGTTTGTTTTTCCAGTCCCCGGAGCGTCGAGTCCATCTGTCTCTGTGGCAGCAGCCCACCCCCTTGGTCATCTTCGCCCTGCTGTGACTCCTTAGTGGTGGAGTCAGCTGAGGTAGGAGACACGACCCTTCCCAATTGTTGGAGACCCCCCCCCCAGACAGCAATAAAACTCCACTTTTTCCTGGATCATTTGTCTTATCACCCAGACACAGTGCAGGCCAGGTCACAGTCTGAACCTCCAGCAGAGGATATTCCATTAAAGAGCAGCAATAAACAGCAAACAGTGTAAAGGACAGTTGAGTGGTTCGCTCCCTTCCCCTTTTGTGATTTTTGTGAACACTCCTCAAAAACAGGACTCGCTCTCAGACAGCAAGGGGCATGTTTACTTCTGAACCAACAAATCAACAGTCGCTGTAAAAAATATATTTAAAGCAGAAACATATAATTTGATCAAGAGCGTACCGTCTTCTTTTCTTCCCTGTCTCGAAAGATCCACAGCAGGAACAGGAAAAATGTTATAAAAGCATTGAGATTGAAGTTTTTAAAGCCAGCTTCTCGTGCGAGAAAATTAAAGAGATTGTAAACCTTCTAGGATGGTAAAATGTAGTGTATTTTTTTAGGAAACAGCAGGTGCAAGACCAGAATGCACATGAACATACTCATAACGGAGTTAGGCGTTCTAGCCTGTTCATGGTCTATATACCATCCAAAAATAGTCTTGTAGTCTAAATATTTTTGCAATGTTTGTGTGCCAGCTAATATATTTAAACATGAATTCTTCAGTGTTTTGCAGGAAGAGGAAGCAGGAATCGATTTTAAACGTTTAAACTGTGAAGAAAGAGCCGTGTGATTGTTCGGCAGAATTTCCAAGCACACATTTCTGGGCATGGAAAGTTACTCGGTTTCTTTACACGGTAAAGTCCCCTGTGGCCAGACCGTGCTGCGCCGTCTTGCCAGCCTGACCTCCTCCACTGCTCTGGAGGCAGCCAGTGTGTGCAACGCTCTCGCCAGGTCCCAGGAGAGGACAAACGCAGGCTCCTCTGTGTTTACAGGCAGAGCACAGAGACCGAACCCCTTCCCTTGTTTATCTTTGCAGGGCCTCTCTGACGTGTTCTGGGGGCAGAAATAGCAGAAGAGATGTCATTTAGATTGCGGTGTCCTTCCTGGTCGTGACAGGAGGTCATCGCGGGGCTCCCAGGGCCATCAGCCCAGTGAGGAGCCGTCAAGAAGACCCAGTCCTCTGTCCTAAAACCAGAGCTCTTCGTCTTAGACATCTACGGTAGTCAGCATCTCCCGCCTGTTGAGTCTGAAAAAATATTTGACTGCTTTGTGAATTTCCTCACTGTTGACATTACTTAAAGGCCAGCACCTCTTTCTGGCCTTTACCAATACACAATTACAATGGTTACTAAAGTAATGCACATTTTCTAAAAATAGAAAATGTACAATGTGATAGTAGTCTCACGAAGGCTGAGTCTCTGTCAGTGCCTTCAAGTGGATCAAGATGACCTATTTGCCACTTAATTTGATCATTTTAGTTTGCACTTCTCTTTCTGTTTGTGTTCAGCAGACGAATCACATACAGTACAATGTCTGATTCTAGGTGAAACAGGGACACCTAGTGGCTATCTCCTGACATTATGTGGGCTGAGCTGTAGTTCATCTGTATTTCCCCTGGAGATGTCATGCAGCATTTCAAAGACAAGAATTGGGGTCTCCTGGTCATTGTTCTACCCAGGATCTCAGTTACCTTGTTGGTCTTGTTATGTCATTAAATGCAGAATTGTAATACATCTGGCCAGACATTGATGTGTTTTTCCTGGGAGCTGTACCTTTCAGAAGGAGGAGGTTATGGGTCTTAAGTAAAGAAATTAATTAAAATAACTGTTTTAATTAAGGCTGAAACAAAGATCAAAAGATACTAGACCCACCAAAAACTGAGTTTGAGACCATCTGAAGAAAATAGCAAAAAAGAGTTGGGAGATTTTGTTACACAATACTTCTCTTCTTTAAGATGTCTCACAGTATTGATGATGTAAATGCCTCAAGTCAGTTTTAATGGCTTTGTAAGTTAGATGGCTTTGATTCTAGTAGGTGACCTACATTTGTCCAGATCACATCTTACTGTAAGACAAGGCTTTCTCAGCCTTTGAAAGATAGTTAATGTTGGAGGATTTTCAGCATGAAAACTTCAAATTGTACTTCAGTTTTCGTTAAAATTAAATTTCAAGTATTTTTCAGGAAATGGGATAACTTAAAAAAGGCAGAAAGTACAGTTTTTAGAGGTAAACGTGGCTGTTTTATTGCAAACATACATATTCTTTATTGCTTACATATTAAACTGTCTTAAAAAATCAAAAGAAGAAAAAAAGCAGAAAAAAAGTAGAAAAAAACAATTACCATAAAAATAACAGATACAATAAAGTAACAAAAATTTAACATTGTTTTAAATGCTGTGCCTTTTTTATGCGTAAAGCAAGTTTTTTTTTGTAAAATCCCCCGTCTTTGGACGACACAACCATTTAACTAGCACGTTTATTATAAAGATAAAATTTGACCTACTTTAAAAAGGAAAATTCTTGTGAGGTGACTAGGGACAGGAAGTTCAATGGTACTGTCTGTTTTTGAACCACAGTCATCGAAACACAGAGTAAGGCTATTTCACTTCAGTCCACGTACAGGTGTTGAGCCTGATTAAGGAGAACTGTTCAAAAGATCCGATGTGTGCGTTAGGGGGTTTATACACACCTTTTTACAGATGTTTATATTTTCAGGTGTAAATTATAGGTGTTCAAATATGTTTGATAAATTAAAAAATATTTTATAAAAACTGGGCCCTGGGTTCAGTTCTGGGCCTGGGCTGCTGTCTGTGTGGAGTTTGCATGTTCTCCCCCATGTTTGCATGGGTTTCTTCTAGGTGCTCCAGTTTCTTCCCACAGTCCAAAGACAAACAGGTGGGTTAATTTGCTTCTGGGAAACCTGGCCCTGATGTGAGTGTGTATATCTGTGTCTCTTCCTGCGATGGACTGGTGTCCCGTCCAGGGTGTGTCCTGTCTCGTACCCTGTTGCTTGCCAGGATCGGGATGAACACCAGCTGCCCTGTGACCTTGTACTGGATAAAGCGGTGAGAAAATGGGTTTATGTACACATCTGATCCTGCTCTGTGGTTACTGTTAAACATTTGTTTTCCAGTTTCATTTATTGTTATTGAACTCACACCTAGATCATTCCTAAATGAATCTGATGATGCCTATCAGTCTGCTTCTGATGTCGTTATCGTACTTCACCAGCTAAGCAAGTATTCCCACTGGGATTTCCCAAGCACCTGCACACAGGACATGATTACTAGGTCAGGAATCTCTCCTCTCCTGGCACGCAGAGATCCATGCATCACCCTCAGCACCAGCAGAGCTGTGGTGATGACAGTGAGGGATGAGTTGGTGCTAAGCCTCCTGTTCATCCGTGTAAATCTTCAAAAGATGTAGGGCTGGACAGGTGTGGGATCAGAATAAACTGTACTGTCTGTTCCTGTCTGCAACTCCTCATTTTCCCCGTCTGGGTACAGGTGTCGTCCTGTGGTTTAAAATGTCTAAATTGAATAAATGCATTCTAACCTGACCAGGGTGTGATCCCAGTGACAGACGTTCACAGGCTAATTTTTCAGCTCTGCTGATCGCAGTGTCCTGATTATGTTCTGCTAAATCACTGCTACTGTATGTGAATTCAGAATTCTTCCTTGGCAGAAAAAGTGTGTCCCCAGCCGGCGAAACAAAAAGGAATTCCATGAATGAGAAGAGGTACTGATGTGAAAAATGCTGAAAGACACCAAGCTATCGTTTTTAAGTCAAGTAAGAATACAAACTGTTTAAAAACATGATCAGCTTTCATATTAACAAAAGGAAACCACAAAACACAGCAAACAGTCCTGCCACCATCCGAGAGGACTTGACGTGAGAGGACACCACGCCCGAGCAGTGGGGGGAGGACATGAGAGGGGCTGTGGCGATTTCAGACAACGGCGTCTGGGAATCGGAGCAGGTGGGTTGATCCTGAAGGAGCCTGGAATGATTGAGGATCCAGTGACTGGCATACATGATAGAGGGGCAGGAGCAATCCCAAGGGTTTCCGTCCAGGTAGATCCTTTTCAGGGAGAACAGAGGTGACAGAGTGCCGTCGACCAGGCTCTTGAGGCGGTTGGATTTCAGGAATAGGACCTGAAGGTGGCTGAGCTTCTGGAAGACCTCAGGATGCAGACGCCCAAGAAAATTCCTCTCCAAGTCGAGGTCCTTCAGGCTGGCCAAGCTGGAGAAGATGTGGTCGGGCAGGGAGTCCAGCTGGTTGTTGTGGAGAAGGAGCTTTCTGAGTTTCCCCTGGCTGTGGAAAGCCGCCGGTGTCAGCTCTGAGAGGCGGTTGAAGCTCAGCTGTAGCTCCTTGAGGTTGACCAAGTCTTCAAAGTCTCCTGGTGCCAGGATGGCCAGATGATTGTTTTCTAGATGGAGGTGCTTCAGGCTTCTGAGGCCTTTGAAGAGCCCCTGTGGAATCCTCGTCATGTGGTTGTTGCTGAGGTCCAAGCTCTTCAAGCTCTTCAAGCTGTTAAACAAACCGGGGGACAGGGTGGAGAGGTGATTATTATTGAGACAGAGGCTGCGCAGGTTTATCAGATCACTGAAGCTGGAGGACGGGAAGGACTTCAGGTTGTTGTGGTCCAGTTGTAGCTCTCTGAGGTTCTGGAGGCCACTGAAAAGGGTGGCAGGGATCCCAGACAAGGCGTTGTTGTCGAGGTAGAGAGACTTAACCTCAGTGAGGTGGAGGAACAGGAGCGGTGAAAGTTCAGACAGGACGTTGTTGTCCAGCTGCAGCTCTACAAGCTTGGTCATTCTTCGAAAGATATCAGAAGGCAGGTGGGAGATGTTGTTGCTGTCTAAGTGAAGCTCCTTTAAAGCATGTAGGCTCTGGAATATATCTGCAGGCAGAGACTCCAGGCCATTGTTGTATAGGTCCAATTTCTCCAGACTGCTCAGATCTTGGAACAGTGCAGAAGGGAGACGTTTTAGCTTGTTGAAGCTTAAATCCACATACCTCAGCTGGGTCAGATTGCTCAAAGCATGTGCTGAGAGGGAGCTCAGAGGGTTTTTGCTTAGATCCAGTACCTGCAAAAACCCCAGTCCAGCAAAAGCATCCTCAGGAAGGGTCTGGATCTGGTTCTTTTGTAGGAAAAGCTTCTGGAGCCTGGACAGATGTTTAAGAGCAACCACAGGGACTGAAACAAATCTATTACCACTAAGATCCAGCACCCTGAGGCTTGCAGCACCAGCGAATGAGTCGTTCTCTAAGATGTGAAGTTTGTTGTTGGACAGGATGAGATTTGTTAAGTTTCCTGTGCTATTGAAGAATCCTGCTTCTAGTTCCTCAATATTGTTGTTGCTCAGATGCAGAACAGAGAGTTTTGGGGTGTCTTGCAATGTTCCAGATTTTAGGATCTTGATATTATTCAGGCTTAGGAAGAGGGTATCCAAGGCGTGCAATCCCTGAAGAGAACCTGGAGGCAAGGAAGTGATGTTGTTGTCTGTGAGGTCCAGTTCTTTTAGATTCGAGAGGTTTCTGAGAAGACCAGGGGGCAGGAGACTGAGTTTGTTGCCTCTGAGGATCAGTTTGCAAAGATTCCTCATGTTTGGAAGGGAGGAAAGGCCTGAAAAGTTGATATGGTTGTGAGTGAGATCCAAGGAATAGAGGTCATCCATCCCCTCGACTGGGAGTGCTCGTATGAGGTTGCTCTGGGCATAGAGGTGTTTTACATCATCTGGCAGACGAGGTATTTCCAAGAGCTTTCCTTCCTGACATGACAGGGTGTCATTCGAAGAGCAAGTGCAGTTACTGGGGCATTCCACACAGGCACAAACTGGAACCAGGAGCAGACACAGGATACAAAGCATGCTTACTGGTGTCTGGGAATGAACAAAGGAGAAAAGATGAAGGGGATAAAGGAAGAAAGAAATGCGAACACTGGGTTATGAAAAAAGAGCATTTGAGCATTTCAGTCTCTCTCTCTCGGGCAAGATTTGCAAACTTGCATGTGTTAACAGTGAGTTTCATTAGATGGGGAGCCATTTGCTCCACACAAAAAAAAGCTTTCAAAATCACCCTTGGTATTTTTGTAGTTCAGGTGGGGAAGGCTCCACGGCCGAAACATTGTGTTCTCTTTCTTCTTTTTTTCAGCATGGAATAAACCTTTTACCTGTTCCTTGGTATTTTTGTGTGCATTGCCTTCTTAAATAAGAGTGGTAGATCCAACTCAGTTTCATACAAGTTTAAGTTCCACATTCATTAACATAAAATAAAAGAGTTAATGTATATCATTTAAAATGCTAAATGTATTTTGCATCTCCAGGAAACAGTTATTATTAATCAAATGTATTAATTGAAATGCATGTCGCTGAGTGAACATGGGCGGATATTAGTCACTAAATATTTCCTCTTGGGTATAGTTATAAAACTCTGCTCTTCATAGTACGACCACCACACATATAATTACAGTTCTGTGCTACACCGTTTTGGGTTAATTTAAAGCATTTGTGTCTTAATTCAATATTTCTTTTTATAATCATACCTTCTAAATAAGACTAAACATTTTTGTGTATTTTTCAACACGTCAACCTTATTTTCAATACATGTGATAAAAGCATGTATCTTTCCATTATTTGAAATAGTGGTTTGACATATCACTCCTATTACTATTAAATTTGATAATAATTAGTTATCTCATAACATTATTACTTGCTCGTTAGTATGATTATCAGTGGACCCACCTTTGCAGAGGAAGCAGACTGTTTCTGTGGTCTCTTCTTTCTGTTCTTTGAGTGACTGCACTGACACTCTTCAGCTGAAGAGTGCCCTTGAAACGTCATGGGCTAGCTGCAGCGACAGATGCTTTCTTAGAAGACTGAGGATGTGGGGAAAGGTCACAGATACAAGTATATTGTCAGCAAAAAAACAGTGGTTTATAAAACAACATATATGTCAGAAAACTATCACTCCAAGAAAGCATCTGTTCCACTTCCTGAAAGATTCTCAGGTTCATATGCAGATTATTGTAACGAGAGAAACAAAAAGAAAAAAAACTAAACTTCTATAATGAACAAGCTAATGGGATATTTTTATTGAGCCGCAGTACACACTGGTAAATATTTAGTTGGTTAGACTATTACCGTAGTAGTATCTACCCTAAACCAGTAACCTTCTGAGTTTCCATGTTCTTTTGAATTAATTCACTTTGAAATAATTAAAGGAAGCAAATTCATTACATGAACGTGTGTATCATTTTCTTACAAATACTGCTTCCTGTGGCACATTCAAATTACTGTGTTTCACACACATATGGTTTGGAAAGCAAAAACATAGTTATGTTTTCATATTATCTTGTCTATAGACTTGTCTTGCCTGTGAGCAGTTGTTTCTTAAAAACATCTTGGGGTTGTTGGTGCTTTCCTGGCCCGTTAAGGCTACTCCTTCACTCTGTTAACCATTGATGTTCCAGAGATGGACCAAGAGTTATTAAGATTAATGTACAACAAACTCAAATACCTGGAGGGGTCTGCTGTTGCTGTACAATATTGCTGTATAATTCTGTAGAGTGCATTGTGGCTGTTGCAGGTTATTACTTTAGCCTGCTGTGCTATGGGACGTAGTTTTCTGCAGAGAATATTTTGTTTGATTAAAGGGCCGAGGAACCTTTTTGTTGCACAGTGGTTAGGTATCGCTGCCTCGCAGCACTGGGGCCCTGGGTTAAACTCTGCTCCTGGAGTGCTGTCTATGTGGAGTTTGCATGACTGGCATCCTGTCCAGAGAGGACACTGCCTTCCTTCCCAGGATAGGCTCCAGCTCTCCTGTGACGCTGAACTGGATGATGCTCTTAGAAAATGAATGGATGGAACCTTATGGCCAATGTTTAGGCTTGTTCTGGACAGGTTGACTTCCCACGTGATGTGGCTGCCTTGTGGTATTTGTCATGATATATTTAAAAGACTGGCCAATTAGAAGGAAAAGTAAGTACAGCACAGTTTTTCAAAACCTAGGACTCTTTCTCTCTCAGTGATGTGCAGCATACGTTTATTAAAAAAGGGCCATGAAGAGCCAATCACATTTCAAGTGCTCTCAATATCTTGTAGCGCATTCGCCCGGCGCTGCGGCCGAAGAGCACCCGGCTGGGGTACGCGGCGAGGGGCAGGACGGGAGTGGTAGTGGTCAGGGCGGGGACTAGGGAGGCCGCTGACCGGTGCAGCTGACCCACTGCGAAACGGGCGTACAGTCTGGGGAGATCGCCCAGATTCGTGTAAATAGTTCCCTGGTTTTGCACCCAGATGCCACCCTCTCCCTGTGTAGCTACCCAAATAGACTGCAGTGTGTTGCTCTCTCTCGTCTCTCTCTGGGGCTCGCTCGTTCTCTCTCTCTCTGCTGGCGCGTGGGCGCGGTGGTGCTGTGCTGGCTGTGCGAAAAATAAAAGCGCAGTTTTTCAGTCATCCCAGTATGTGATCTCCTGTCACAGCCTGAGGAACAGGGAGTCTGTCTCCCAATAATGCTCCTTCTGTCTACAGTCTATGTAAATATTTTATAATATGTCTTTGTTGTAAATGTCTATAATATGTCTGTAGATTTTATATTACTTTTATTTTTTGTTTTGTTTCATGTGAATTTCATTATTTTTATTTGCTTTGGCAACACTGATTGTACCCATCGGTCATGCTGATAAAGCACCTTGAATTGAATTGAATTGAATTGAATTGTGTCTGAATCACTGTGTCCATCCTCGCCCGACCCGAAAATACTACAAGATGTACAAACAACTGTATAAGGTCCAGTAGATACCTACAGAAAATTGTTATTGTGACATCATCACAAAAGAATAATATTTGGGAATTATACTCCAAACCTGAATTAAGCTGATAGGTCAAATGATGTGCAGCCATATGTAACAATCCCGTGGTTTGGGGATGGAAAGAAACGGGCCAGAGGCTCTGGCACAGGTTGGCAGGACAATTATTAAAGACGCTGAGGGGGGTTACACACATACAGTATGAACTCTGCTGCAGGTGAATTCGCTTACAACGCAGTAGAGCTCAGACAGGCCAGGGCTCTGTTGTTCTGAGAAACACAAAGGTTAGAGAGAGGCTCGTACGCGGGTCACTCCCCGCTGGCCCCTGCGCTGTTTTTCTGCTGCGTTACACGCTGGTCAGTGTGTTGAGGTAGGGCGGTCAGGGACACACTTCAGTGAGAAACCTCTTATCCAACTCCTAGAACTGTATCCCAGTCTCTGTATTATACATTCTTACATTAGTGCTCCGATGAAACGTAACCTACATACAGTAGCTATAGAAATGACATGTTAGTTAATGTATTGAAAATAGTGGTTTGACGTTACATTTTTTAATGTAATTTTTTAATGTAAAAACGTTTCTTTCATTAACCAGCAGAGTTCGAACTGCGAGAGGGAGCCATCGATTAACTACTGAAACGAAAATAAAATTGTGATTATCAGAGTAGTGTATTCATGCTGCATTTTTCAGTGGGCGTTTTGCAGTGAGGGCGCAGAGGCCTGCTGTAAAAAATGTAAAATACTGCTAACATTATCTAAAAGAAATAGGGCGATACATTCCAATTCATAACCATCAGGATTCCTACGTCTGTCGTGAAGTGCAGGAAACCTGATTTTCCGACCCTGAAAATGCTTGAAATGTGCTCCCTAAACGCAAGTCTTAGAAAGAAGACAATTTTATACGGGTAAGGGGAAACACAATTAGATGTGACACATATTTAATTTGTGTTCACACGTTTTGCTAAGCAGTGTTTTGTATTTCATGTACTGATAACGATATCGCTGCCTGGTGAGCTCCCGCTTGCGGTCACTGTCGTGCGACCCGCGCGACAGAGCCGCAGCACGCAGACCTGCCATGGCAACCGCGCCGCGAGCCGTGCGTTTCCGGTTTCACGAGCCCTTCGCACGCCGCGCGCTGTGGACACGCCGGGGCGCACCCGGGACGCTGGCGCCCTCTGGGCGTTAGAATTGTTATTTAATAAAATGTATATTTCGTCGCATCCTCTTCACAGTGAGAGAAAGGAGGAAATGGAGTGAGAGCAGAAAGGACAGCGTGAGAGAGCAAAGGCCACAACGAGAGGGTAAATTAGATCCGTTTAGGTGAGACCACCAGGTGAGACGAACGTTGTTTGTTTCTTCCTTAAGCAACACAGTTCTGTATTTAAAACTTTCAGACAGAGAAGTCCATTTTTACACCCCAAGACAAAACAAGAATGTCTTTGCAGAGGAAAGAATCAGTTTTTAGGTGTGTACACTTTTGAGACAATTATAATGCAAATCAGATGTCTGCAGTGTTTTTTTGACTCTTTGTTTTACTGACTTAAATGCAAAAGCCATAGGAAACATGTTTAAACCTCAAAAGGCCATTGTGTTTATATGTATCTCCTAAACATCTCTTCATGTTAAGTGCTGTGTAATATCCCCGGTGGAGCTTGCTCTGGAGCGCCCCCTCATGGGTGAGGTGTGCGTTCTCAAAGCCGTTTTTCAATTTCTATCTCTGTAAGAAATATATAAAATGCCATGTCAAAAAATCAAGTAATAGGTGTATTCCATGCTGAAAAGAGAAGAAAAAAAAACACAGCGTTTCGGCTGTGGAGCCTTCTTCAGGTGTTCACCTTCCTCCATATAAAAAAAATTGCTAATCTCTGGCTACAGTACTCTCTTAAAGGTCAAATGTAACCCTCTTCATAAAGTCTTAGCACATTCATATGTTGTCAAGATTATTGCAGAATATATATGATGGGTTATACCTCTTTCATTGAAAAATTCCCAAACCCGGGAAAATATACAGTACAGAGTTTTAGGACCTATAACGACACTACACAATGGCTGAGCACCTCACAACGGTGAAACACAGCACAGAGAGGACAGGCTCAGTGACCACAGCCTGGCCATAGAAACTGGACACAGGGAGACCTGGCTGTCCAGAGTGGATGGGCTGTGCTCCCACTGGTGAACTTTCTGCCGAACTCTAAGAAAGTCTCTGGGATCAGACATATATTATTCCCCAAGATAACAAATCTAATCCCACAGTTTCCACACCTGCCAGAATCTGAACAGCTTCCAATCCAAATGGGGGAGGGAACTCAGTTGAGTTTAACTCTAGATGATCTCTCGCTGACCCCCTCAAATAATAATAATAATAATAATAATAATAATAATAATAATAATAATACATTCCTTACACTTGTATAGTGCTTTTCCAGACACTTTACAATTATAGGGGACTCCCCTCCACCCCCACCAGTGTGCAGCTCCCAGTGGGGAGGAGAGCAGAGTGATGAAGCCAGTTCAGAGAGGGGGATTATTAGGAGGCCATGATTGGTAAGGGCCAGAGGGAAATTAGGTGAAGACACCATGGTTAACATTGGTACTCTCAAATAATAGTATGGCTCATGTAGTGTCTTTTAATGTTTACTGATATGTTTGTACTGTAAATGTATTTAAATATCTTGTTAATAGTTACAGCTTTGCCAACACTGTAATTCATTGATCACTGGGGCGGAGCAGTGGCTCTGTGGCTCAGGATCTGCGCCTGTGGCTGGAAGGTTGCCGGTTTGTATCCCACAGCCGGCAGAGGAATCCTACTCTGTTGGGCCCCTGAGCAAGGCCCCTAACCCCAACTGCTCCAGGGGTGCTGTACAATGGCTGACTCTGCACTCTGACCCCAACCTTCTCTCCCTGTCTGTGTGTCTCATGGAGAGAAAGCTGGGTTATGTGAAAAGATGAATTCCTAATGCAAGAA